ACACCTTTCTGTTCATCTGTCATATGTGTCAGCAATGCATCATGCTCAATAGCTAGAGCCTTATGGTCATAGTTAAGTTCATCCAAAACCAGACGGTTTGTACTTAAATTAATACTACCCATATCTGAAAAAGGCATAGTATAATAGTCTTTTATCCCAAACTCAACCTAACTCAACCCAACATAATATTTATTTTACATTTATTTATATATTTATTAAATATTATCTACAATAATTTTTTTGTTATTGTTTTAGTTGCGATATGATAAAATTGATAAGTTACGATTAAGAAAAAAGAGTGAAAATATAGAAATTGCAATTATGTTCCAAAATATATCAAGAGTGGTCTCTATTTATAGAGAATGAAAAATAAATTTTTATTTATTTTTTTCATATAAATTAATATCAATAATTTGAGTTACAATTATCTTATTATTGAAAAATTTTATAAACCAATAAGAATAGGACACTTGCCCCATTTCACTCACCTTATTTCTCTCTCACTCCTTGTGGCTAGGTTGCGATCCAGAATCACAATTTGACCAGAGTCGCGGATTTTGCTATTTTTTTTATTCTTTTATTATTTTTTAGTTGGTGACCTAATAAAGATAATATAATATTTATTTTATTTTTATTTATTTAATGAATAAATATTAGCTATGTTGTTATGTGATTTTTAACAACGATGTAACACGTGATTAGGATGAGAATTATAAATGATTTGGACGTAAAACATGTAGGAATAACTCAACAATGGCCCCGGTCCGAGGTGAACCGAGGTGAAGAGCCGTGATGGGCTTTTGTGTGTTGCATAATAATGTTTTTTCAGTTCGGAGAGAGATCGATCCCCTTACAAATGTCATGGGTTCACTATTTATAGTAATTTTTGGTAGATACATTGGGATGTGTGTACTACTTTTTGGATAAAGTAGCTTTTGGTGGGCGGTTTGGAGCAGTGGGTCCCACATAAATGATGACGGATCTTGTGGAGCGTGATGGTTGTGCGTAGGCACCTTGTCACCTGCTTAAGGAGGTGACGATCTCGGTTTAAGTAGACCTCGGTAGGTGCTGACCACTTCGGTCTTCGGTAGCTCGGTCCGGTTCATCGCCTGGACCGGTGTGGTGTTTAAAATCACGTCGGTTCAATGGTCATCTTTCTCTTAATACCTCTTAATGGTGTTTTACCGAATCGGATGATTACAGAGAGGCCCCCAATATCGGTGGGCATACGGAGTGATGGTCATCGATGTTGCCATGCGAGACATTTAGAGACCCCGAATCGGTAAAAAGTCAGCGGCAGGGTGTTGTTTAATGTCTTCGGAGGGTCATCTTCGGTCTCCTGACCGACGTAACCGAGGTGAGTCATTTGACCGAAGTGTAGACTGTATTCCGAGGTGAAGACACTTGGTGAATTTCGAGTAATTTGCAGACAGCCGCGGCAGGAGGAACGTGAATGGTCGTAACGGTCAACGATTTAATGTTTAGACTGAACGGTCGCGCCGTAA